GCATGGATAACTGGAGTTTTGCTAGAATCTCGGGGCTGTTGAGGCCACAGCACAGATAGCTGGTAGTTTCTGAGCTCAGGCTTTTGTTCTCATGCTGGCTCTCAGAGCCTCTGTAGCGTTCTTCCCTTCTGTCTTCCTGCCTCCCTGCCCCACCCCAGCTCTCACAGGTTCCTGGAGTAGGGGAGGTGTTGAACGTGAAGACGGAGTCCTTAGCACCCCCACTCTGCCTGCTGGGGGATGATCCAGCATCCCCGTTTGAAACAGTCCAGATCACCGTGGGTTCTGCCTCCGATGACCCCTCAGGTAATCAGCCTGTCACTGTCCTTAAGAACTGCCACTGGGAACCAGGCGATGGTGGGGCACACCTTTAATCCCAGCACTAAAGAGGCAGAGGTGGGCAGATCTCTGAATTTGAGACCAACCTGATCTACAGAGTGAATTCCAGGACAACCAGGGCTACACAGAAAAACCCTGTCTCAAAAAGCAAAAAACAAAACAAAAACAAAAACTGCCACTAGGGAGGGGGGAATGGGACTGAAGAGATGGCTCAGTGGTTAAAAGCACTGGCTGCTCTTCCAGACGACCCATGTTCAGTTCCCAGCACCCACATGGCAGCTCACACCTGTCTGTAAGCCCAGTCCCAGGGGATCCAAGGCCTCTTCTGGCCTCCAGGAGTTCTGGTCACAAACATGGCTCATAGACATACTTGCAAGCAGAACACCTATGCACATTAAACTAAAGAACAGGCACTTGGCTCTGTGGGGGTAGGATGTGTGCACCTGTGTGGACAGGGACAGGAATGCGGAGGGAGAGTGGATGACGGCCTCGAGAAGGGAAGCTGGGCAGGAGAACTTCAGAGACAGAGCGAGGCAGCCTCGCGGAGCGCAGCGCGATGTTTACTTTCCTCCTTTCTCATGGCCTGTCCGTCAACGTGAGCATGTGTGTGCTGCTTACCCCCCCCCCCCCCCCAGCGCACACCCTGTCCCAGTCACTGCTTCATTGCTGTGCAGATCATGGTCGAGCTTCCCTGTGGGGCTTGCTCAGTTTCAGAGGCTTAGTCCCTGATCAGCATGGTGGGAAGCGTGGCGGCAGGCAGAGAGGGCCTGGGCTAGTTCCCGAGTCCAGGGAAGGGAGAATGGCCTTGTCCTTTCCTCTTCAGAAGTTATCTGGTAGCCAGCTCTTCTTCTTCGTTAAGATTTATTTTCTGGGTATGAGTATTTTGCCTGCATATGCATCGTGTGTGCCTGATACCCCAGAGGTCAGGAGGGCGTTAGATCCCCCCAGTTACCGACTGTTGATAGCCACCACGTGGACTCCGGGAATGGCTCCCTGGCAGAGCAGCAGATTCTCTCTACCCCTGAACGTCTCTCCAACCCCGGTGGCCAGCTCTTGTGTCTCCTGCCCCCCACAGATATCCAGACCAAGGTAGAACCCACCTCTCCATCTTCTTCTGTCAACTCCGAGGCCTCCCTGCTCTCTGCAGACTCTCCCAGCCAGGTGCACACAGTCTCCTCTCTTCTGCAGCCCCAGCCCTCCTGTTGACCCCCACTCCATCCGCGACACTCCCGACTAATGTCTCTGGACTGCCCTGCATAGGCTTTCCTAGGAGAGGAGGTTCTGGAAGTGAAGACAGAGTCCCCGTCCCCTCCCGGGTGCCTCCTGTGGGACGTCCCCGCGCCTTCACTTGGAGCTGTCCAGATCAGCATGGGTCCATCCCCTGACAGTTCCTCAGGTAATGAGAGCTCCTGACCTGGGGTCCCTGGTGAGAGGCCTTATAGAGCTGTAATTCCCTCCATCCTCTCGTCTTCCTACAGGGAAAGCTCCAGCCACTCGGAAGCCTCCACTGCAGCCCAAACCTGTGGTGCTAACCACAGTGCAGGTGCCACCTAGAGCTGGGCCTCCCAGCACTGCTGTCCTTCTGCAGCCCCTCGTCCAGCAGCCCGCAGGTGTGGACGATGGAGAAGGGGCCCTGTCAGTGAGCTCACTGCCACTGAGGTCCCCGGCCCTTTAGTGCTTGGGTGTGAGTGTGGAACACCGGACACTGTCTCACTCTGACTTGCCTCTGCTTCCTTTTCCAGTGTCTCCAGTAGTCCTCATCCAAGGTGCTATTCGCGTCCAGCCTGAAGGGCCAGCCCCTGCAGTCCCACGCCCCGAGAGGAAGAGCATTGTTCCAGCTCCTATGCCTGGGAACTCCTGCCCCCCCGAAGTGGATGTATGTGTTGAGGAGGGTGGAGAGGCTCTTGAATGGGAGGGAAGAGAGAAGTCTATCATGTTAAAAGCAGTGTGGCAGAGGGAGTTAACATACGGAATGGAGGGCTGGGACCTGTAGGTGGCCTACTTTTACAGCAGGAGGAGGCGGTGGACTGAAGTCAAACCGGGGCATCCCACTTGGTTGTGGGTGCGGGGCATAGGCAGTTTCCCGGGGGAAAGGCAGGTCAACTGTTCTTTCCCGGGGGAAAGGCAGGTCAACTGTTCTTAACTACAGCCGTTAACGTTAGGCCCGGAACAAGGTGGGAAAGAAGGAAAACCCAAAGAAAGGCCGGGCAAGGATGCTGGTCCTGCGGTTTCCCTTGTCCCACATCTGCGGACGTGGGGGAATGTGGCAATGGATTGTAGCCATTTGCGCTTTGGGTAATGGGTCCCTGGTGTTGGGGGCGTGGTCGCTAACTCATCTCTGACCTCGCTGGAACCAGGC